CATGGCAAGGAACTCAGTACCCCCACACTCAGTCACTAAAGACACCCCCAGGTGACCACCTTCAAGGAACTCAGGGCCCCCACACTCTCATTCATAGAAAGTTCTTCCTCATGCTGATCTGAAGTACCTCCCTGCGTAACTGATCAACAAGGTCACTGTGGGGTCCTCGTGTCACACAGGACAACATGAGGAGGAAACGGTAAATGCAGGAAGCTGATGGGAGGAGTCTGCCAGCGTTTCCTGTTCCTGAGCTCAGTTCAGAGCTGTTTCTCACACTTTTATGGTTTTTTTAATGGTTTTCATGTCAACTCTATTCTCTAGGGACAGTAGATGGCATCTCACTAGCCCAGGAAGAGGGGTGCACTCTTCCATCCACATAGTTTTGAAAAGCCCTTGCTACTTTGGAGGCCCGTTCACAGGACAATAAATTTTCAACCCACACAAAAGCAAGCGTATATAACACCAGCAGGAAAATATTGGACTAGTCACATGCCGCCAGGAAGCCGATGCTGAGGCCGTGAGGAGGACACGTTTTAGAGCCTCCCGTCCATGCCCCCTCTCTGACAGCACTTACGGCCTTCCATGGCCTCAAAATCCTAGCAGATCCTATGTTCTCCACTTTAAGTGAGGAGGTCCTGGCCAAGTTCACCGGGATGCGGAGACAGTGAGAGGTGAAGCCAGGAATCACTGCTCAGGAGAACCCAGGGTTTGCTCACATCTCTGACACCCACCACCCACAGGTCTGCAAAAGAGCAGGCATTTCAATCGGTAGCCCCCCTACCCTGGAACTCCAAGAGAAACGAGATAATCTTTGTTAACGTATTTCCCTCGCATGTCTCTGGGGCCCTTTGTGCTCAGAGCCTTTGGCCCTCAACCCCCTACTTGTTTCCATTGTTGTTACATCCAGACCATAGCATGATCTAAGAATCTAACTCATAACCAACATAATAGTGTTTAAAAATACTATAACTGTACTATAACAGGAGAGGATTTATCCTTAATTTGGCCCCACTCGAAGCTAATATACGTTAGTTACCTCATTTACTTCTAGGGACTATATTCTATTGCAGGGATTATCATCTCCCTTCTTACTGATGAAGACACTGACAGTCAGAGAAGCTAAGCAACTTGCTCAAGGATGTCGGTGGAACAGATTCCACGTTATCCCAGCAGACCTATGTGGACTTGAACCCAAAGACAGAATGACTCCAGGAACCTGGGGCAGGATTCACGGGCAAATGACCCCACAGACCAACCACTAACGCTACACCAACAATAGCTAACACTTACTATATACCATGCATACATACAGTAAATATTTCAGTGACTCCTCACAACAGTTTGATAAGTGTTCCAATTCACAGGTGATGAAACTGAGGCAGAGATACTAAGAAACTCATGTATCAGCCCTCATTGGAGGGCTGAATGGCAGGCCCTGGGATGAGTTGGCTGCTAAGCAGGACAGGCAGCGGCGGCAAAAACACCCAGTGGGTGGATAAATGTCCTAGGCGGGCTACATTTGGATAGGACTCCAGGTCTTGCCCTATCCCAAACTCCCAGGGGCTGGGCATACATGTGCTCTTAGGTCATGGAAGGGCACAGGATATTCTGTCAGAGGACCAATCACATTCAACGGATCATGAGCCTCCCTTCCTCGGTACAATGCAGGCCGCCTCCTCCTGACAGTGACTTGGCACGGTCGCTCACTCAGGCTGGGCTGAAGGGTGTCTATCTGCAAGACTGGAGGAGACAGAGCACCCAGCAGAAAGGGCTCCCTGCCAAGGCAGATTACAGCCAATGACAACAGGACATTTCCCCTGAAGGCATGTGAAGAACCACATTTTGTGGGTCTGTTTCAGGATCAGAAATAGGAAATATTAAACAGTGACGGAGTGGCCTGCAACTCCTAAAAGCTTTGCCCAGGAGGCCGACGTGGACCCATCCGCCCGCCTTGCTTGATGACACCAGTAAGCATCCTCCCGCCTCCTGCCTATGTTCTACGTCTGAACTGTTAGCGCTGAAGTTAATTACTTATAATTAATTAAAATAACAAGAACTATCCCAGTCCCTAACAATTGAAACCACGTAGGATCTTTATCTTCGTTAGTTCAGACTATCCTCTCCAAGTAACTGGGGAAATTCCTTCAGGAGAGGATTTGTCCTTAATTTGGCCCCACTAAGCACCAGTCACTGGAAGCTAATATATGTTAGTTACCTTATTTACTTCTAAGGACTATATTCTATTGTAGGGATTATCATCTCCCATCTTACTGATGAAGACACTGACAGTCAGAGAAGCTAAGCCACTTGCTCAAGAATGTCAGTGGAATAGATTCCACATTATCCCAGCAGACCTCTGTGTACTTGAACCCAAAGACAGAATGATTACGGGAATCTGGGGCAGGATTCACGGGCAAATAACCCCACAGACCAATCGCATTCTACATAATCTGACTCTGAATTCCAGTCTCTGGCATTTTTTCTTCCTTTTTATACTCGGGATAACAGTGTCCACAGCTTTTGTCTCTTTGATAGCCAGACACCCTGACATATGGTGATGAAATGATGTATTTAATCATAAATTAAGTACTGTGAAAGGAACTCATCAATCATGGTAAACCAGAAGGAATGCAACCTTCAAAGGAGGTTTAGGCACATTCTTAATTCAGAAGATTCAGGACATAGGTGATCTTTCTCTCTCTTTGCTGACAAAGCTCTGAGAACCTGAGTGAGGGACACACGGTGGCCTCCCCTCAAACTCACAAGCTCAGGAAAAAAATAACAGACACAAAGGTCATCGAAAGGAGAACAATACAAGCCTCCAAGGACGAGATAGAGGTTGGCAGCAGGAGTGTTAGTGGCGAGAAGCAGCTGTCCAAGGCAAAAATGTTCTCAGCTTCTTTCAATTTATACTTTTGGAGAATTTACATACACTTTGAATTTCTGCGGACGAACAGAAACATAGTTCCTAACAGTTTATTCCCTGGCAAACATAATTTGTTAACTTAAATCTCAGAAAAACAGCTGATGAAGGACTCTGGAATAAAGGGCCTGACAACTGTATTTCTCTCAGTTTTCCAGCTCATTCCAGTAGGGAGTTGGGTCTGGAAATGGTTTCTTCTCTTTGTCTAACAACAAAAAGCAGGTATAGAGTATGACATTGGATTGTTGAGAACAGAGGTAGTACAGGCTGTGTGATCAGAACTAAGAAAACAAAAATGGATCCTACAGGTAAAATTACTTTAAACGTCAGGTCCTGGCAGAACGATTTTCTCAATATATTTGCTATTAAAAGAAAAAGAGACAAAAAGTGGAAGAGTTCCCAAAAATTAAAAATCAGAACTGTAGTTACATTCTTGTGGCATTGAGGAAATAATCTTTTCTTCAACCAAAGGTCAGCAGGCAGCCAGTCTGGGTCTAAATGTAAACAATTCTAATCCAGGCTGCAAGGTAGTATGAAGAGGGGTGTTCAGCAAAGACAATGGTCGACGGGTCAGAGAAGGGAGAGGACAAGTGGACTAGAGGGCTTCTGTACCGGACAACTGCATTTACCTGCCTGAGGAACAGATTTTCAGAGGAGAACAAACAAGCAAACAAATAAATCCAGGGCTGTCTGACAGGTTTAGCTTGAAATTGCCTCTGGGGAAATGAATGCAGAAAGTTAGGCGAAATTAGGCAGAAAGGGCAAAAATACCACAACTCTGAATTCTCTCTCTGGCCTCCCAGCCCCCATTAAACGGGCTGAACAGGTCTGTGCCTTTGAGCTAAGTTTAAAAGCAACTCCTCTTCAAGGTTAAAAAAAAAAAAGATTAAGTCAGAAGATAAAGGGAACCGGATTAATGATTAGGAAAAACGAAAAGGATTACATATCTGGCCTGGAAGAACTTTCCTGTACAACCAGAAGGGCCGAGGCACCCTCTGGCGCAGCAGCCAGGCTGAGCCATTCAGCTCACATTTTTCATTTCAATTCCGTTCAGGTTCCTCAGTGGCCAGTGGTCTACATGCCAAGAGGGAAAAACGGAGGGTTTCCACTCACCTTTTTGAGTGTGTGTCTAGGGCTCTCAAAGCAGCAGCAAGCGGGCAGGTCTCACCCCCCTGGGAGAACTGAGCAGCTCTGTGGGCTGCCTGAGTTGTGGCCAGGCTCAACTTCGGTGTACAGGTGCCTGGCGGAGGCAGGACGGCATTGGTCGGTCCAGAGCAGGAAATGGGTGACATCACGGAAGCCTACACACATAAAGCATTGCCAGGACCTCAGAGATTGAAACAGTCAGTAGGCACCGCCCACTTGTCATTTACCTGAACCTGCACACAGGTGGGTGGAGTCGTCTCTCTGTGGACAAATGAATCAGTTACAACAATTTGCCAGAGGGAATTTACTTTCTTTCCTGAGTACAGCACGTGTCCAGGCCCGTGTACAGATGTGGATTTAAATGACCAATTGTTTCCTAGACACCCCACCTCCTCAATGCTGCGTATAAAGGAGTTAAAAGAGAAGTTAAGACATCAAAATAGCAGTAATTTAGCGGGCGTGAACGCTGACTGCTTAGAAATATCAGGGAATGATCCCGAAGCCTTTCTGAACTGCATCTATTTGAATACCAAGCGCTTCTCGTTTCCAATATTGACACATTACAGGTGATGTTTCAAATTCATTTTTTAAAAATCTAAATATGAGGCTGGGCATGGGAGCTAACGCCTGTAATCCCCGCATTTTAGAAGGCTGGGGCAGGAGGATTGTTTGAGGCTGGCAGGTGAGCTCTGCAACAAAGTGAGACCTGTTTCCACAAAAAATCAATAAAATAACCAGATGTGGTGGCGCATGCGTAGTCCAGCTACTCAAGCCCAGGACCTCAGGGCTGCAGTGAGCTACGACCAGTGCACGCCGGCCTGCCGACAGAGTGAGACCCAGTCTCAAAAATCTAAATATGATATTTGTTTTCAAACGCTCTCCCCCTGCCTGACCTTTCAGTCCCAGCATTTTAATTCCATAATCAGGAATTTGCTAGACTTCAGTGCTTCCTACCTTGGCTAGCTCGGCAGTTAGAGTCAGATGGTAGTTAGAGATCACGGCAGGTTTGCAATTAGGAGCAATTTAAATGATTCAGATTTGAAAGACCGTACAGTAATAAGGCGACGCTATCGGCTGTCAGAGCCAGGAAGGAGGAGTCAGAGTTATTTCTGTCCCTAGCTTGGCGTGTGACCCTGGGCAAGTCCCTGGTGCTTCAGCTCTCCCAGCAGCACGGAGCTGGGAGCTGGGAGCTGGCAGGTATCACAGCGCCTGCTAAGCCCGTTGGCATCCTCGGAGGAGCGCTGTAAACAGCTCCCCTCATCCCGCAGAAACGCTGTGCATCTCCATGACCAGCGCCCGGCGCCCGCGAACAATTTGCTCACTCTCTGGAATGTGCTACCTGGAGAAATGCTGGATCCTCCCTCCCCGGGGAATGGCAGGCTTGCTAGACCAGAGATCTTATTTCCCCCCTTTTAGAGAATAAATGCAGAAATTCCGGTTTTCCGCCTATCTTGCAGCCCCCATGAGATCCAGGGCCCGGGTTCACAAGTCCCGACACTGAGTTAGGCAGAGATTTGGGGGTTGGCTGGGTCATTCAATCTCCCGCAGAGCACGCGGGAGCGGGAGGAAGAGAAACCCCAGCCGGGCACGAGGTGCGGGGAGGCTCCACTCCCCGGGCCGCCCCAGCCAGGCCCGAACCACCTGCCGAGACTCAGCTTTGCGCCCTCGGCTCGCGGGAGGCTGTAAGGCGCGGGGGAGCGAGTGACGTTTTTACCCAATAGAAGCGAAGGTGGGTGGAGTTAGTTCCTCATTTTGGAAAAGAAACAAAACAAAAGGCAGAGGCGGTAACACCTTTGCACTCAGGTGTTTGGGGGGGGAGGGAGTGGGGAAGCTTCAAGCCACCAGTTTGACACCTAACCAGGGCACCGCCCAAACTAAGGCGCCTCCTTTCCTGAGACAGGGCATCTCCCACCGAGGGGCAGGCGAGAGCCCAGCCTGCCGACCTGCCGAAGGTTCTAGAAGGCCACGCCTCCGTCGCTCCGCGGCAGCCCCCCCCTCCGGGCGGTGTCAATCACGCCTCCCGGGGAGCAGAGGGCCCCGGGTCTGGTGCGGGAGCGGGGATCGCAGTGGGTTTCGTGGCCGCGGATCGCGTGGACAGTGAAGGGAGGCGAATTTGCAGGCACTGATAGTGCGTGAAGCTCCGCGGAGAGGCCTCACGGCCTTCTGCACGGGGCCCATGAATTAAAAAGAAAAGAAAGAATAGAGAGAATGAGAGTTCCTGGGCGGTGGCGCTAACTGCCAGAAATGGTGCAGAAAGGACGCGAAGAAACGATTCCGCACAATCAGCCCTCCAAGCGAGATCTTTCTGCTGCTTCTGAAAGATCACCCAGAAGGATTATTATTTAGAATAATCTTCAAAGGTTAACAAAATATGTGGACTTCTTTTTTACTAGGACTACACTATAATGGACAATGATATTTCTAAATACTAGAGGAAAGATGAAAATATAAAAACTAATGTTGACTGAGTGCTACGGAGACGCCACTGGATGCTCTGATCGCGCACAGCCCTGTGAGTCAGGTGCGCGGTTTGCTTCTACCCTTGGGAAAACGGAGACGCAGAGAGCCTAAGATGCCTGAGGACAGCTCAACCGACCAGGGGCAGGGCCAACATCGTTTGTAACCAGGGCCCACTTTTAACCAGAAAGAAAGGGGGGAAGGTTCTGATTTCATGCTCACTGGGCAACGTCAGGATGCCAATTCAGATCCTTACCTACCCATTCTTCAAAGGCAAGCGCCTTGTAGTAGAAGTCCTGGGGGGTGTAGCTTCTGAAGTAGAATGTCTCCATTTACAAAGTCAGTAGTAATCCGGTTTATACAGTATGTATGTAGAGAATATATATATATATTTATACATATATTTATGGAAAAGTGCACCAGGAAAACCATCACCCCTGGGTAATATTTGAAATCATCTTTGGAGGGCATATCAAAACAACTCCAAGAAGAAAGATTAGCTTTTTTTTTTTTTTGAGACAGAGTCTCACTTTGTCACCCTGGGTACAGTGTCGTGGGGTCATAGCTCACAGCAACCTCAAACTGCCTCACCCTCCTGAGTAGATGGGACTACAGTCATCTGTCACAATGTCTGGCTAGTTTTTTTCTATTAATAAAGATGGTCTTGAATTCCTCAGCTCAAGCAGTTCACCCACCTCAGCCTCCCCCTGAAGTGCTAGGATTGCAAGGCCTGAGCCACCATGCCCAGGCTCCAAGAAAGGCTAGCTTAAGAGGCCTCTGGAGAATGACCTATTGTCACTCTCTGTGACATCATTTTACAGTCATTTCTCTTGATAATATACATAATTTCAGGAGTCTTTCCCTTTAAAATCTTATCAGAATCTTATAAGAACTTGGTACAACTGGATGACATGAGACAATATAAAATTAAGTTTCATTACAAATACTATCAAAATGAATCGTTTAGACCAGGTCAGCAGATACCAGACACACGCTGCTCCACTCCCTCCCCCTTTACCCTTCTCAGGGTCATTGCTAATGGACAACGGTGCTCTTGAACTCAGAAGGAATTGAGGAATCTTGAAGACACAATTGCAGGCACCCTAGCAGTTGGTAGGAACCCCCAAGATCAAACCATTTTCTACCTCTTGTTTGACAGCAAGTGAGAGAATTGATCAGGAAGGAGAAGGACTGGTGTTGGCTGGTGCCACTGGGGAAGATTTCACCAAGAAAGGAGCCTGAACTGGACCTTGAAGTCTTCGGAACGATGAGGAAGGACAGTCCATTCCAGGCGGGGCAGCAGCATGGGTGGAGGCAGGAAGGACCACAGCCTGTGTGTGGTGGGGCAGGAGAGGAATGTGGGACAAGGAAACGCTCACCTTGCTGGGCTGGAGAGGGTCAAGCCAATGCTAAGTTTGGATGAGTAAGAATACAAAGAGCACCCAGGGCTGAACGCTTCATGTGTCTTCACTGGCTACGTTTCTCATGATGATTAAACAGGTTAAAAAAAAAAAAAAAAGAAGAAGAAACTCAGTATCTGGGGCATGCAGTAATTTCTTAGGAGCGACTGTGTCTTCGGTCACTTTGAGTTCACCTTCTGGGACATGCCGGTCCAGCTACCATCTGATCTTCCTTCTCTTTAGCAGCCAGCCTCCGTTCAGTCGATATATCCTGGAAACTTCATTTTCTGGAGAGGCAGGTGGAACACATTAGCGATCTCTCTGAACTCAAGGTTGGGCCTGTGTTACTGATCCAGCCGGCTCACTCCGGCTTTTTGATTAGTTTGAATTTCTTTATGTATCTTGACAGGGAAATCTAAGGGAGGAAGGAGGTCTATTTTCAAAGCTCTTTACTTTTAGATCACCACAATGAAGGCTGGCATTCTCAAGGATCCCTCCTGGCAATGAACCTCCGGCTGAGACCCTGCTGTGATCGCTGCGCTTCTTTGCCCCTGTTTTGCCTCCTTTTTTTTATTTCCTCACAGCATATTTGTAGAGTTGTTGGAGCTGACTGAATGCCACAGCGAAAGTGAGCATGTTCTGCCTGATTTTAATAAAAGACATCTCTAGAAAAGGCCTCTTTAGCTTTATGATTTCTGAAGGTATTTAACGTTATGAGATAGAATTGCCCTGTTCATGCCATCATACCACTCATATTTTTTTTTTAAACTAGTCCAGCTCCAAATATTTCATTGGCTAATTATAAGTGCTTTGCATAATACAAAAAAGCAGATCCCAGAAGGGCAATTATGGGAAATAACAGTGATAATCACAGTCATCGCTGACACGACGTGCCCGTGGTTTCGTGCATGTGGAAGTGATTCCATCTGTCTCACAAACTCACACCCCGCATGTCGCCTGGTTTGCAGATAAGCTTCTGGGGTGCCCTACAGACCTGCAGTTTAGCAGAAGATATCTCTCTCGTTTGTGTGCTTTTGGGATGAGAGGGAATGAATATCTTAAGGAAATTAGAATTAAATTGGTAATTGAGAATGGCACACATTTTGTAAGGTTAGTACAGCACACTCTCTATTAGTAGGAAAAAAAAAGACTTCATTGCCATTTCTA